TACTGTAGTAGTAATAGTAGTAGTAGTAGGGAGATGCCGAGAAGATGGCTGATGTAGAGTAGGCTGTAAATCCTCCGACGCTGACACAGCGCCGGTCATATCTCAAAAGTTATCCAATTTGTGTTAAAATAGCACTCGCTATGGATCCTCCTCCTCCTCCTCCTACTCTTCCTCCTTTTACTCTTCCTTACTCCTCTCCCTCGGGGTTTCCTTCTCCAACCGCGAACGACCTCTCTCTCTCTCTCTCTCTCTCTCTCTCTCTCTCTCTCTCTCTCTCTCTCTCTCTCTCTCTCTCTCTCTCTCTCTCTCTCTCTCTCTCTCTCTCTCTCTCTCTCTCTCTCTCTCTCTCTCTCTCTCTCTCTCTCTCTCTCTCTCTCTTTCCGCCTTCCTTCCTCTCTCTCTTATTTCATTTTGCTTTCTATTTCTTCCCTGATTCTTTTAAAACTCCTAAGTATATTTGTTGTACATTTGGTGCATTTAATTTTTAAATCTTTTTATTTTATTTAATTTTTTTTATTTTCTTTTTCTTTGTTTTTGTCTCTTTCTCTCTTTTTTTTTTTTAATAAATATATATGTATATTATATATATATATATATATATATATATATATATATACATTTTATTATTTTTTTTTTTTTAGTTCAGCATACAGCAGTCCTCAAGGATCATATACGACCATGAGCTCGCCGCGTCAACAACATAGCAATTTATTGTTACTGCAGCAACAACAACAACAACAGCAGCAGCAACAACATCAGCAACAGCAACAACATCAGCAACAAGTGCAGCTTCAACATATGCAATATATGCATTCTCAGCAACAACAGCAGCAACAACAACAACAACAACAACAGCAACAGCAACAGCAGCAGCAACAACAACAGCAACAACAACTTCAGCAATTACAATACAGAAGTCCGACCGGTGGTAGCCCACCTGCTATGCAATCCAACATTCCAGAAAATAATAACAATACTACGACCAGCGAAGATAGCGATGACAGCACTCCTCATTCGGGGACTGTAAGTTGTCTAATATTGTCGCATAATAATATCACGGTAACATTGTCTTATCATGATTTAAAATTTGTTCGATTTTATTCGTATAATTTAATTAAATAATACAAAAAAATAATTGTTTTTCTCGTTTTTCTTTCTTTTTTTTTTTCTTTTTTTTTTTTTTCTTCTCTTTTTCTTCCTCAATTAGATCGCAGGTATTAAACGGCCATCACCGGAACCAACCGATGTGGGAGCTAAAAATCAGAGAAAAACTAAGTCACAAAAGAAGAAGAAGAAGAGGGATCCTAACGAACCCCAAAAGTGAGCTCTAACGCAATTTTATAACATTTCCATTAATTCGCAATACAATAATCTTTGAAAATTATTAATATTCTGTTCTGATATAATAAAATTATATTTCGTTAATTATACGCGAACAACAATTCATTTTGAGAATTCCATCGGCGAATAGATTCTGTCGCATGTGGTTTAAAAAAAAAAAAAAATAAAAAGAAAAAAAAAGAAAAGAAAAAGAAAAGGAAAGAAAAAAAAACTGAAAGGTAACTTGTAAACTATATTTTATATTCCGATCGAGAAGATAGGTGTAGAAAAAAGAAAAAAAAAAATAAAGGAGAGAGAGAATTTTAAAAAGACGTTAGATGTAGTATTTTGTTTCTTTTCTTTTCTTTTTTTTTTTTTCGAAGGAACTTTCACAGAGATATTAAAACAACGAATTTCGATTTCAGACCAGTGTCGGCTTACGCTCTCTTCTTCAGGGATACCCAGGCAGCGATCAAAGGACAAAATCCTAACGCTAGTTTTGGCGAAATATCGAAAATCGTTGCATCAATGTGGGACGCCTTGGAGATCGAACATAAGAACGTGAGTACCATTTTTTTTATTATTATTATTTTTTTTCTTTTTCCTTTTAATTAACTCTTATAATACTTTCTAAGTTTACTTGGGTACCGCTTAAAAGTTTCTCTTATAAAAATGAAGATATTTTCACGTCCTTTTAATTTTTTCTTTTTTTTTTTCTCTTTTTTTTTTTGCTTCTTCTTCTTCTTTATTTTATACTAAAATATATGTGGCTTTACGTGAAAGAAAGAAAGAAAGAAAGAAAGAAAAAGAACGAGAAAAATTATTCTCCGTAAATAAAATAAAATGTTAAAATATATGCGTTTAAAGTTATATTATAAAATGTGTAGTCGAATATATGTCGTTTTCTCAAATATTTCAATGGATTTAATATAGAAAAGTTTATGTATAAAGATTAAAATTAAAACGCCATTATTCAAATAAAGAAGAGAAAAGGAGAAGAAGACAAAAAAAAAAAAAAAAAAAAGAAAAAAGTAAAGAAAAAAGGTAAGAAAAAAAAAGGAAAAGAAAAAAATTAATAGGTTCCATTGATTGATGAAGAATTTATTTTAAACAAGGATTAAAGAAACGTTATATATCAGAAATGAAAAATGTCTACATTATATTATATTCCTTGATTCGTAGTTGATAAAATTTCTCTATTTTGGTACACGTCGAAAGGACACGAATAAATTATCTCGAAGAATCGGAACCTACACAACATACACACATATACAGGCACATATAATAAAACATACATATACGGTATATGTCCTATATATATATATATATATATATATATAAGTACGTATACACACATACGAAATAAACAAGTTTTAAAAGAAGGTATACACACGGATTATATAGATATTTCTTTGTGCGCGTTTAAAGTGATAGAATGGAACCGGTTTACGATATATATACCAGTCCAACCAACTATTTTTCTCCGCTCTATTTCGTAGAAACTTATACTTGTAAACGCCACGTCCCGAATAAAATTATTATATTTCTCTCGTAACATATGTACGTCGAATGTTAAACTAACTTTCTCCATTTTGGAGAGAATGAAAGATGGAGATAGATAGATAAATAGATAGATAGATAAGGAGAGAGAAAGAGAAAGAGAGAGAGAGAGAGAGAGAGAGAGAGAGAGAGAGAGAAAAGAGAAAGAGAAAGAGAGAATAACAATCGACATTGAAGAAGTTGTTTACGTCTTATCTTATATATTATCTTCCTTTTCATATACATATATACATATACATCATATATGTATCAGCCATCGCAAACCGACCTCGAAATTTCGAGCTCTTTTCCCCGGGTATCATAAATTATTGAACGAGTATTCGAGGAAACTAGAAAACAATGAAGGGAAAGAAAGAAAAAGAGAAAGATAAAATAAAACAAACAATAAAGTTTATATCTTAAATCAATTCGAACAAACGATACGTATTTCTTTCTTTCTTTCTTTTTTTTTTTTTTTTTCCTTTTTTTATGTTCACTTTATATATCCACTATAGAAATTCAAATGTGTCATGTATTTGTGTATAGTAGGTAAGAGAATGGAAGAAAATTAAGAAAATAATAAAAGAAAGGATATAAAAATAAACGAAAAAAAAAAATAAATAAATAAAAAAAAAGGAAAAGGCATAAATCGAACAATAACATTTACATCTTTAATTAATTCCGAAACGAACGAGACGAGTTTTTTTTTCTTTTTTTTTTTTTTTTTTTCAATCTAATATATTCTGTATAAGAATTCGGATATATGTATGTGTGCGTATATCTGCGTGTGTGTGTGTGTGTGTTATGTGTTTAACACGTATGAGAATGGTAGACTATTAAAAAGATGGAAAAATGAGTAAAATAGAAAAATAGAGAGAGAGAGAGAGAGAGAGAGAGAGAGAGAGAGAGGGGGGGAGGAGAGAGAGAGAGAGAGAGAAAATAAACATTTGAATATGGTAAGAAAAAGAGAGAAATAGAGCGTAGTGGCGTTGATGGTGGTGCAATGGTTGTAAGGGATGAAAGGAGGAGGATGGAGGGATGGACCGTGCGGAAGGGAAACAATATATAAGAGAATAATTCCGCGGAAAGTGCATTTTAATTTCGCTACATCTAGGACGATATGCAGTTAGACTAGGTGGAATCTTGATTAAATTCCCTTTCCCTTGCCCGTTTTATAAGAAGAGAAAGAGGACCACGTTTCTTTCTTTTTTTCTTTCTTTCTTTCTTTTCTTTTCTTTTCTTTCTTTTCTTTTCTTTGTTTTCTTTCTTTTCTTTCTATCTTTTCTTTCCTTTCTCTTTTTCTATCCTTCATTTTTCTTACTCGTAGTATACCACCCACCACATAGCAGAACGTTTTTTCATCGTGCGAACATATTCTTTTCGGACTATCTAGAGAGAGTGAGAGTGAGAAAGAAAGAGAGAGAGAGAGAGAGAGAGAGAGAGAGAGAGAGAGAGAGAGAAATGATGGGGAAACGAGATTGTAGGTAGGGTGCAGGAGACAGAAATGAAAATTTGCACTTTGTTGCCTATAAAGGAGAAAAAAAAAAGAAACATAAATGAAAGAGAGAGAGAGAGAGAGAGAGAGAGGAGGGAGAGAGGGAGGGAGAGAGAGAGAGAGAGAGAGAGGAGGGTGGGAGAAAGGGAGGGAGAGAGAGAGAGAGAGAGAGCATGAAAGTTGCTTTTCATCGTGAAAACTCTTCTAAAGAAAATAATAACGTGTTGTTGTCTCACTTAGAATCATTACAAACATCATTCGGTACATTTGTTATTTCGTTTGTAATAATTTGAAATGAAAAATGAATATACGTGAATGTTTTTGATAGTTGTTTCTTTACTTTTTTTCCATTTTCTTTCTCTCTCTCTCTCTCTCTCTCTCTCTCTCTCATTTTTCTTTTTCTTTCTTTTTTGAATTATTAATAATGAAATAACGCGGCAATCAAAGTTGATAATTCTAACGGATATTATCGTATTGAATGTATACATATATATATATATGTTTTTTAATATTTTGTATGCGTGGAACAACATCCACCGATCGATGATGACTATATTATTCATAATACAGATAGAAAAATGTTTGGCGAATATTTTTTTTTTTTTTTTAATTCTCGATTCGCACGTTATTATTTATCATCATCATCATCATTATTATCATCATCATCATCATCATCATCATCATCATCATCATAATCATCATCATCATCATCATCATTATTATTATTATTATTATTATTATTATTATTATTATTATTATTATTATTGTTATTATTATTGTACAATTTCTAATTACTATTCCCTCCCTTTTAAAACACTATTATACTATTATTCTTATTATTATGCTACTATTATTATTATCATTATCTACTATCTGGCACTACTACTATTACTATTACTCGTAGGAGATCGTTGCAATCTAACATCTAATTTTCATGCCCCTCTCGTAGAGCCGTAAACTCCGTGTCGATAATATTGTCGGAGGTATTACGTGCATCTATGTATCGTGTTTGTTTTTATTGCATCGATTGCATACGAACTAATTACTATTATTATCATCATCATCATCATCATCATCATCATCATTATCAACATCCTACGGGTTCGAGAATCGAATGTCTTACGGTTAATGATTTCGGTTAAAGAGAATGATTTCGATTAAAGAGAATGCTATCTTACGCACACACACACACACACATACACACATACACACACACAAAAGTTGGGCCAAAAGTTTTTAGATGGTTTTATAAATGAATTAAATCACTTTTAAGACTTTTCGGACTTTTACTTGCGCATAGATTTATATTGGCTTATAGTTTTAAAATTTGAACGAAAAGGAAGAAAAGAAAAGAAAAAAAAAGAATGAACTTAGAAAGTCTCCAAAATGAATGATTGATTTTTAAAAACTTTCTAAAAACTTTTCATCGACCATCATCATTATCATCATCATCATCATCTTCATCGTCATCATCATCATTATTATCGTCCTTTTTATCCAGTTCGATATTAAAAACTAAAGCGGAAAAACAAGATTGAACGAATAAATGAAATAAAATTCTGATAATAATTTAACATATAGAATGGTGCTTTTGGTATTGACGAATTATTATTATTATCATTATTATTATTATTATTATTATTATTATCATCGTTATTATTTATATGCAATATATTACCAACTGCGCGTTCTCTTCATATTTCATTTCGTATTAAAATAGCCTAGAAACTTTTGGTCCCCATCCCCTGTATACACATACATATAAAAGCGTTATTATTTCGATGAAAAAAAAAAGAAAAAAAAAGAAGAAAAAAGAAAAAAAAAGAAAACAAACATTTTTAAATTGCGAAGCAATGAATAAATAAATCGATTCGTTCGAATCGAGTATTGAAATATTATATCGCTTATATCGTTCATAAAATTGTACTGGAAATAAAAATAGAATTTCGATTCGAAGGACACACACGTATATAAATCTATATACATACATACATACATATATATATATATATTATATATAGAATCGGGGGTTTAATATGTAACGTATTATTTCGAACAATTGAGAAGTTGGCGTCGGAATAAAATCGCTTCGTTTGTCACGTCTAAAATTCTCTCTATTCATTTCCGGTATGTACGATAGGTTCGTCAAACACTAGCGGTAAATTATAAATGAAGTTAGCTTATAGTTCTACACCGGTCGATAAAACTCTCTCTCTCTCTCTCTCTCTATATATATATATATATATATATATATATATATATATATATATATATATATGTATATATTTACATGCATATATTTCTCTCTCTCTCTCATACACACATACAAACGCTTTTTTTTTATCCTTCGAACATAAACTACGACAAGAAGTTACTTTTAATAGCCTTTAGAATCGCATATATCGGACACGTAGCTATCAAAAATAAGATTAAAGTAAGTCGAAGACTTATATAGAATGTATATAGTGCTTGGCCACTTCGATGTCGTGTGATTATATCGACGAAAAAAAAAAAGAGAAGAAAAAAACGAAAAAGAAAAAAAAGAAAATAACAGGTATATACGGGAATGGAAATTCGCAGGTGTATCATGTTATTCGTTATTAAATATGTATATATTATATGTACATAAATATATATACATACATGTACATAAATATACATATATACATATATATATATATATATATATATATAATATATATTTATACATAAACGACTTGCTGCTGCAATGCGGCAATTTCAAAAGACATCCGGGAAAGGGGAACTGCGAGAATGTATTATTATGATGACGTCAAATCTGAAAGCAAATTATTTTATTAACAAACATATCTTTTGATTAATTAACTAATTAATAATTTAAGATATCAAAACAATATTATGCAAATATTTATTAAATGTTAATATCTCGGTATTTACATTATAAACGCTGATGCAAAGAAAAGAGAGCGAAGAGAGAGAGAGAGAGAGAGAGAGAGAGAGAGAGAGAGAGAGAGAGAGATGAAAAGAAAAAAAAACAGAAAAGGGACTTCGTTGGATTTATAAAAACGTTGTATGCATTTAAATTAATCTATTTTAATGTTTTCAGGTTTATAAGAAAAAGACTGAAGCGGCTAAGAAGGAATACTTGAAGGCATTGGCAGCATATAGGGCATCATTGGTTAGTAAAGGTGCAGCTGAGAATGAACAGCAACAACAACAGCATCAACAACAACCACAACATCAACAACAACAGCAGCCACAAGTGCAATACACCGGATACGCCAGTTATGGTGGTAATGGCGCACAAGGAAACGTTGCATATGAAGTTTATAGTCCTCAACCCCAACCACCGTCGCCTCAGCAACAACATCAACAACATCAACATCAACATCAACAGCAACAACAACAGATGGCCATTAAAAAGTCACCGCATCATCTTACGATGCAGGGTAATCCTCAGCAGCAGGCACAACAGGTAATATAACAACGCGATCGTCAGATTTATTATTCCCTTTCATACATCATATAATATTTCTTTTAATCGTTCGTTCGAAATAACAGATTAAAACGTGAAAACGTTCTTTTACATTAATTTGCAGGGATTATTGGGCAATGCCATGGCATCGGCGCATATGACGCAACAACAACACATGCAGCAACAGGTGTCACAGCAGCAATACATGCAGGTAAGTCTAACAAAGTATCTTACTACATATCTATATATATATATATATATATATATATATATATATACCATGTATATATATATATATATATATATATATATATATATACATGGTATATATGTATATATTATTCGTTTTCGTATTTCGAAAAAATTTATATGAGTTTATAAAATAATCGAAACCCGAGGAATCATATTTTATCGAATATATAAAAATCGAATCATATTGCTTATGATGATGATGATAATGACGGTAATAATAATTAAGAAGAATGGTTGTTTGTTTATATAAATATTTAAGATTGGCGCCATTCTGACGCGTCGATATCTCGTATTACTACTACATAATCGAATATATTACCATTCATCAAGCCGCAAAATGGCTGCCACGAATGCCTTCGATACTTCCGACAAAATATTCTCTATTTTCTGCTTAAGACCACCCGGGAGTTATTATTTCGTGAGTAAAATCTACGTTTAATTCGATAGTTCTTTTTTATTTTTCTATTTTATTGTCAAATCAAATTGTTTCGATTATATTCCATGATACCTCGTAAAAACATAACCTATAAGTTATAATAATAAAAAAGAAAAAGTTTGAATAAACGTAACAGATCTGTTTGACAGATCGCTATCTCTTATATATTTGACGTAGGTGCCACAGCAACAAGTACAACAGGTACAAGTCCAGCAACAACAACAAATGATACATATGAGCCCTCCCAGAGGAGATTCACTTTCAAGCCCACCCCCGGTAAGTGCTTCGCAAGCTGCCATGGTAGGACAAAGACCACCGACAAATGCATGTATCCGTCACGGATGTCCAAATCCTGCTGTAGCCAATAGCGAATGGGAAGATGAGTATTGCAGTAATGAGTGCGTGGTCAGCCACTGCAGGTTTGTGTGAGCATTCTTTGTATTTCTTATTATTGCCATATCAATTCGTATAATGACTGGGTAAAGAAAAAAGAAAAGAAAAGAAAAGAAAAGAAAGAAGAAAAAGTCAATCAACCAGTGATTATATGATATCTACAAATAGACGAGACTTTTTTCTTTTTCTTTCTAAATGGTATATCTCTCTTTAATTGTAGAGATGTCTTCACCACGTGGGTATCATCGAATCAAAATCCACAGCAGAACTTCTCCACTGTGAAATAAGTGTTTACGCAAAAGAGGTCGAACTACGTCGTTAAATTACACATCGAGGCTCTATTAACGTGCAGGGCCTGTTGTTAAGTAAGATATCTAAACTAATGTGTATATATAGGCCGCAAGGAAAAAAAAAAAAAAAGAAAATGAGATAAGAGTAAAAGTCAGCGAGAGTACGATCGTAAAATAGAAAGGGAAAAAAAAAAACAAAAAAGAAAAAAAATACAAAAGAAAAAAGAAAAAGACAAAAAAAGAGGACTTATAAACGCGGAAATTTCACACAATACAATCTCGTGTATGCGAAAGAAACAACGTAGCATCGTCCATCAGGAGGAAGTGTCGTCTAATCACGTTATATATATATACACACACACACACACACACACATACACACACACACTTTGAATCAGATAGAGAAAGCGGTAATGTTACTTTGTAGAATGGGAAGAAACGTGTAAATTAAGAAGCCTTATTCACAATAATCCATTACTCTGGTCAAAACACTATCTATCTACAAAAGCTCGGGGGATAATAATTATTAATGCGGCTTTTTAAACACGAAAGAAATGAGACTTGACGATTTTCTTTCATAAACCGCAATAATAATAATAATAATAATAATTAATAATAATTAATAATAATTAATAATAATAATAATAATAAATAATAAATAATAATAATAAATAATAATAATAATAATAATAATAATAAATAATAATAATAATAATAAACATCATTGTTTGTCGATAGAGACGAGAGGCGTGCCAACTGTACAGTTAACAGTACGTTCGTTCATTTAAATTAACGAAATTGATTAAAAGCGGATGGAAATTTTTCACAAACGATCGTGAATATTATTTGTGATCGTTCACGATGGGAAAGGAAACGGCAATTAAAATAAATGTCGTTCTTATTCTATGAATTGCATTATTCATATGTAAAATGAAAATCTTGTGGGGGATAGTTAAATATAGACAGCAGAGAATAGTAATCACGTACAATGGTGCGGGGATAATAAGAAATATGTGTGTGTGTGAGAGAGACAGAGAGACAGAGAGAGAGACAGAGAGAAAGGTATATTGCATGTACATAATAATTGCGATAAAAAATACATCCCATTTATAATAATAATGAAAGAGAAGTGCGATAAGAAAGAGAGAGAGAGAGAGAGAGAGAGAGAGCGATTGGATGAATAATAAAAAAAAATCATCTGTATAGTAAACATTGTATTTACCTGGCAGTGCCATGGTGGGCCGCGGTTGTTGCATGTTTTTCCCCCCTTCTATACTTAGCTAGGAATATTATTAATCATCTAGAATGATTATATTTATAAATATGAACATATATGTGTAATTGGTTGGTCAATTATATATACATGTTTAAACGATAGAATTCTAGCGGGTATCGATAAAAAGAAAAAAGGAATAAAAAAAAAAAAACAAAAAAAAAAAACAAAAAAAAAAGAAGAAAAAAGAATGATGATCTATCTATGGTGGTACCCTGCGATGAATCCGATTCAGACTGTGTTTTTGAATATTTAAAGAAAAAAAAAAAAAAAAAAAAAGAAAAAAAACGAAAAAAAAAGATAAGATGGAAAAGACTTGTGAAAACAGCTAATTCTTGTTTGCCCTCTGACTTTCGGTGGTTCTACCGGTATCATAACGTGTTTCGAATTAATATTTATCATTTGTCATTTAATACGATCGATCCATATATATATATATTAAATATATATTAAATATATATATATATATATTAAATCAATAACAAATTGAGGCATATCATGATATTTATTTTATATAATTCGCGATTTATATTTTGCGGTATGATAATAATTTTTTTCGCAATTTTATGATTCTTTCATATTTTTTTCTCTCCAAGTTAAATCCGGATTTTAATCGACAATAAACAAATCAACATAAGAAAAAAAGTTTCTTTATTAAATTAGTAGTTGGAATGTACAAAATGATAATATATCGTTGTTGCATACTTGACGCATACATGTTTTTGTATTCACGTACATACATTCATACATACATACAGATACACATACATATATAATATTTTGCAAATAAGATTGAAAAAGATATATCATCTTCATAGGGAAACAAAAGAGAAAACAAGAAAAAAGAAAGTATAGAGAAAAATGTCTTGAATTTGAGGCTGACAGACCTCAACTTTAGTACCTAATTATTTTTCTACAATTTACGATTTTATTTTATTTTTTTAAAAATACTATTATTATTATTATTATTATTATTATTACTATTATTATTATTATTAGTATTATTATTATTATTACTATTATTATTATTATTAATATTATTCTTTTATAGGTATATAGTGCAAATTTTATTTTACGTGTATCTTTGTTTTTTTCTTTCATTCTATTTTTTTTTCTTTTTTTTTGTTTATTTTACACATAATAACGATTAAAATATTTAATTCTTACATCAACAATATCAAATATATATATAGATATTGTTGTATTGTATTGAAGTCTTAGTTATAAATCTCTAGCCAAACTTTTGTTGGATTTATATGTTTTGTAATAAAACAAAAAATAAATAAACATGATATATATATATATATGTTCGTATATACATTTATATGTATATATATGTATGTATGTATATGTATATGTATATGTATATGTATATATATATTTCTATTATGATTTTTTCTTAATTTACAAATATAAACATATTTGGCGTTTTCATATATTTGTTAAATTTGTATGAATAAATGATATGAAATATATTTGGGAAAAGAATTTTAATAGGCAATCCAAGTATAAATTTCTTTACGTCGATGTTACTACGACGCAAATCGATATTTTATAATATTTATGATCACACACACACATATACATACACACACATGTACACATACATACACACACATAGGGGGAAAAAAGGAGAACAGAAATTGAATTTTGCGAATGGATGCGTACTTTCGCTTATTTTTTACAACTAGTATTTAAAATTATCAGTTCCATATGTGTGGTAAGCACCCCCTAAGTCTATCATACGCGGGCATATTTTATGGAAAGAAAAAGTCAAAATATATCAGTGAATAATATATAGTCAGATTGTTTGAAAAAGAAAGAGTTAAAAATTTGAAATAAGCTTTTAAGAAAAAAAAAAAAAAAAAAAAAAAGAAAGATCATCGAGTATAATATAGTTGTATAAAGAAGATATATATATATATATATATGTGTATGTATATATTATATATATATATCTTCTCATACTTATCTTTTGAGACCTCTCGATAATATCTGATCTCAATTACACAATCGCGATAATTGTTTATTGGGTAACAGAACATTATTGAATGTGTCTCGAAAGAGTATGAGAGAGGGTGAGAGAGAGAGAAAGAGAGAGAGAGAGAAAGAGAGAGAGAGAGAGAGAGAGAGAGAGAGAGAGAGAGAGAGAGAGAGAGAGATGAATGTGCTAATGAATTTTCTTTTAATATTCTCTTTTTAATATACCCTCTTGTAAATATACATAAATATATATATATATATATATTCTACAGATTTATAGGTTATGTGAACATAATCAATATTGTATTATATTGATAATAAACGATTTGTGGTATATATTATGAAAGCATATAAATATATAAAATAAATATATATATATATAAATATATATATATACATATACATATACATATATATATATATATGCATATAGGATAATAAAAAAAAATACTTATAATTCATAATTTTAAATGAAATAAGATATTGATTAAGCCGATTAAGCCTGTTGTGAAGTATCCAGGTATGCGGCGTGTCAATAAAAAAAAAGTATACAAAAGCTACACAGAAAACACAAAATCCCCCCTGCCCCGTATGCGTGTATATCCCTTAATACAGAAAACACAACTTTTACATTAATCGTAATCGCATAAATCAATATTAAATGAAAAAGAAAAAAAAAAGTGAATCTAGGAAATATCCAGCATATATTGTAGTACTAGCACTACGCATCAAATGCTAATATATGATGGTAATTTGCAATGAATTTATGTTAATTTTTATTGTTTTCTGTACAAAGACATAATTAAACGATTTCAATCTCAAATTTATCATGTATTTTTTATTTTAAAAGCTTTTAATCTTTTAATAATAATCCACATTCCTAAATGATATACATATATATATATAATGCGATCAATTGTAAAGCCCGACGCAGTCGATCATATTACAGTACGTATAAACAATTCGTAAAAAATTAATATCTTATGAATTTTTTATATTTTAATGCCTGTATATTATTGCTTCGCAACAAAATTTACATTTTGAAAAATAAATTAAAATATTATATTAATGGTATATTCGTTTTACATACAGATAATGTATTTGTAGTATCTCATATCCTGGCATAATTTTACTAAGTAAGTAACAAATTTATTTATAAGTTACAGGATCAAATCTGAGTGGTATAATAAATTTCTAACGAACAATTGATGGAATTAATAGTATTCTTGGAATGAAGGATATATTGCGGATAAAAAAAAAACACTTCTACGATGTCACACAAATGAATTATTTTATATATATATATAAATATAAATCCTATCATGTAAATCTTATAAAAATAGTATTAATAAATGTAAATTAAATGAAAAACTGTATTATTTACTTACCTTTTGATACAAACCAACTCTTACTTAACTACTCTCTTTAACCTACCTTTTAAAAATTTTTAATTATTGACGAAGCCAAAATTTTTCCCACGAAATGAACTTTGTATCAGGATCACATAATGAACGAAGAGGTGGCACGTGAAATCGTATTTATTTCCTGGTAAGTTATGTTATTCTGTTTGAATTTTCGCATTCTGGAGAAAGCGGAAACTTTTCCCGCATATTTGGGTTTGTATCAGGATTACATGATGAACAAAGACGTGGCACGCGCAATTGTATTTATCTCCTGGTAAATTATGTTCTCCTGTTCGAAAAATCAAATTACGGGAAAGCCTTTCCCCGCAAATCTGAATTTGTATTAGGATCACATGATGGACGAAGAGGTGGCACGTGAAATCGTATTTATCTCCTGGTAAATTATGTTCTCCTGTTTGAATTTTCACATTCTAGAGAAATCTATTTCAATCAAAAACTAAATACAAAATGCACACCACTTAAGCATTTATATGTGAAATGTTTATAATGAAAATTGCGATTTTCTTTTCTTTCGTCGGAAAATTCAAGAGAGCGCGACTGTGGATAAATTTTTTCTTCTTCCGCGAAAAATGTCGTCGAATGCAGAGAGATTTATGCCAACAGCCAATTTAGGAGTAATGCTTGATAAACAAGTATAATTGTTTTAAATATAAAGATTTAAGCAAGAACATGGCTTTTCCGTATTTTTAAAAAGGTTTTATTTTTATGGATAAACTATTCACAAAAGAAATATCATTTTTTAAAAGCATTCTTTTCGATGAAGATAAAGTTTTTTTAAAAACTTCGTAAGTTCTGTTTAAATAATAATGCTACGTTATTATATAATTATACTATGTGTCTAAGTGATGAATTTTCATAAAATTCGTAGAAAACGAAAACAAATCCATTTTTCCCTCGGAATTTCCAGTTTAACGATCGACATTTCTGGATCATTCGAAAATCTGTAATTATTTTGGGATATTTTATTGATGGAATTAATTTGGCAGATTATAAAAAATTCAGATTGTATATTATACATTATGTTCGATGGTATCACTATTCTCATATTCTTATTTGATCTCATTTCGATTTTGTTAATATTTAAACGCTTATTATTATATTATACTATAAACAAAATAAATCAATGATTTTATAGATAGATTATAAATTTATAATCTTTTAATTACTTTTAATTACTTATTAATGAATATAATATTAATTATCGGATATTTTATCGAGACTCGATAAAGAATATTAATTGTGAAAAAATTTACAAAGTATTAAAACTTGTAAATCAATTACAATTTCTATGAAAGTCGAAGCCGTACAGAGAGTGTACGTATTGCCAACAGTTGAAACAAAAAAACTGATTACTTTTTTTCTAACTTGAATTTAATTCTTGATTTTGTTTGTGATTTTGTTTACAGATAATAATTATAGATCTGCATTCGCATTAAGTTGTGAATTAATAGACAATTATTTTACATTATCAACAATTTTGTATGTTACAATATCGTTTAACTCTATAACAGTTATATAGTGAACGAATATAACCTCTTTCAAAGAGATGGAATCACGAACAGAATTTAAAATAAAATCGCCTCCGACCGATGCGATTTCTGCCGTTGAATTTGGTCCGAATTCTACACAATTTTTACTTGTCTCATCATGGGATAGTACAGTTAGATTATATGATATTCATGCAAATAGTATGAGGTTAAAATATAATCACGATTTGCCGGTTTTGGATGTAGCATTTCAGGTAATGTATCAAATCTATTGAAAAACTTTTAAAATCATTAATAGTTTTTACATATTATTATTTTTAGGATGCGGTACATGCTTATAGTGGTGGCTTAGGAAACACATTGAAGATGTATGACATCAATAGTAATACTGGTAATGAGAGTTTTAGTTCTAATGTACTGCATTATAAATAATTGTGAACATGTTGCTATGGAAAATGTAAAACTCAGAAGTATTTTCTCAGAATCGGTCATGGGAACACACGACAAACCGATCAGAAAAATAGAATATTGTGGTGCGGTAAATGCTATATTAACCGGTGGTTGGGATGCAGCTGTAAAGCTTTGGGATCCAAGAACTCCCACTTGTGTGGGTAGTTATCTACAACCAGATGTAGTTTTGGCATTGTCAGTTTGTGGAGATAAATTTGTAGTAGGCACAGCAAAACGAAAAGTTTGTATCTGGGATTTAAGAAATATGGCTGGAATGTTTCAAAGACGCGAAAGTAGTTTAAAATATCAAACACGATGTATTAAAGGTTTTCCCAATGAACAGGTAAGTACATTACTTTTAATATTAAATGATAGAATAACTTTTGCATATAAAAATATTCTTTCAATTTATAGGGCTATGTTCTAAGTAGTATAGAAGGTAGAGTGGCAGTAGAATATCTAGATACGACACCAGAAGCACAGAAGAAAAAATACGCTTTTAAGTGCCATCGAATAAAGGAGAATAACGTAGAACATATTTATCCAGTAAATGCTATAAGTTTTCATTCCACTTATAATACTTTTGCTACCGGTGGATCAGATGGATTTGTGAATATATGGGATGGTTTTAACAAAAAACGTTTATGTCAATTTCATAGATATAACGCTGGCGTTGCTGCTCTTAGTTTTAGCCATGATGGTTCTGTTCTTGCTATAGGTGTGTCTTATTTAAATGAATCTCAAATACCACCTGGTGGTACAGATGAAATAGAAATTTATATAAGATACGTAAACGATCAAGAAACTAAACCTAAGTAACATTATATCTTTTTAATAGGATCATTTGTAATTATAATGTTATTTAAATCGCGCGCTACAGATCAGATAAAAACATCATTAAAATCCATTAACGGGCATTCTTTCTTTTTTTATGCATCATGTAAATATAAAGGATCATCAGGATTTTACACTTTTATATTTCGGAAGACTTCGATATTGTTAACTGTAATTATTCTATATGTATACATTACAATCTATTATGTATACATTACAACGATTCTTATAAAACTGGATCATTTCTTTGAAATTATTAGATTAATCGAATTATTTGAATAAACTATCGTTTTTCTAAACATCGCTGCTTTATCATTATCACATAAAATATAATTGTACATACATACCTATGTATATGCATATTATATAAAAGGAGAGAGAAAGAGAGAGAGAGAGAGAAAAAGAAAGAGAGAGAGAGAGAAAGAGGTATGTGAAACACTTAATTTAAAAGCACAATATTTTGTACTATAGGTCAACAGTTTATGCGTTCATTATGCGACGAAATAAAAGGAGACATATTTTATAAAAGATTATATTTACTAAAAAGGCTTCGATAACTAAATACAAATATTTATTACGTGAGAAAGGCACGACTCATAATAAATATCAAAGAGAAAAATCATTACTAACGTTTTCAATTGACATTTTCTTTTTTCTCTTTTTTTACTTTTTTTCTTTTTTTTTTCTTTTTTTTCCTTAGAGTTGTCCATTAAAAGAAAGAAAATATATTAAAGATTATAATATTATTTATATTACTTCATTTATATAAAGAGAGAAAAGGCAGAATATCATGTCTCTCATTATTATTATAACAAAGATATTATATATTATATACATGGTAAACATTATCGCAAAAGTATTACAATGAAGATAAAAACATATACAAATGAAAATATTTAAAAAAATATTAAGATTTTCTCCTTTTATATATAATTAATATATTGGATTATCTCCATATTCTCGATATATTCGATTAACGTGAATTGTGCTATTTTAAAACACACGATATCTTACTTTTATCGTGTTATTAATTATTGTCAAAATTATTCGAATGTATTCATCGATGAACAACTCTTAAATACGTTGATGAACAATCTAATTTCAATAAATTGAGCGTACGAACCTGCATTTGGATTATTAAGACGAAGATCTCCATATTTTATATATGTACACACACACACACACATATATATATATAATTATAATATATATAAATATATATATATATATATAATATATATAAATATATATATATAATTATATTTTATATATATGTATACATAATTTTTGCATAGGAGAAAAAAAAGGAAGAATATAATTATATCTTATCGAGATACAGAAGTATAATTATGTATTTCGATAGACTGTAACCATAATTCTTCCTCCATCTTATAAGTATATGCATTTTCATATAACGCATAATTATATAATGAATTAAGCTACTCATTTAGAGATCAACGTATGTACGATTTATAGAAATTTATATTTTGCGAAGAAGGCAAGCTGTTTTGAAATATAAGAGATCAAAATGAAATGAAAGATTTTCAACGTTAACTTCTAAAAAAATTTCTAATCATCGAAATAATATATTTCCATATGCACTATCTTTTTCTCTTTTCTTTTTTTTTTAACAATTTCTTAAAAATTTTTTTTTTAATTTTAAATAACAGTACAATCATACATATATATATATATATACATATATACATATACATATATACATATACATATATATATATGTGTAGCATTCAACAATTTTTTACTAATAATAATCGACATCTTTTATAATTCTTCTCTTAGATATACCGACACGAGCGCGAATATATCGCATTATTCTATCGAGTTTACAAAAAAAAAAATAAAAAAAAAAAAAAAAAAAAAAAAAAAAAATAAAAGAAAAGAAAAAAGTGAAATCTCTCTATTTCTATCATTGAAGATCTTTCACTTTGATCAATAGATGATCAACAAAATCATCTACGTGCAAGTTTTTTTTTTTCTTTTTTTTTTTTTTTCTTTTTTTTTTTTTTTTTTTTTTTTTTTATAAGGATTATCATCCTTTCAAATGGAGATCCGCTTTCTGATTGAACATTTAATCAGAGTTCTTGAATTGATTCTTGAATCAATAAATAAGTGACACAACATTGGATTTCTTCACCTTTCTTCATCGTTCTTCGTTCTTCTTCATTATCTCACGAATTTATATTATCAACTTAACTTTTTAATCTGTCACATTGTCCGACGTGCAAATAATTTTTCGCAAAGTGTCACGTATCCTGTCATAAGTTGCAAAACTGATGCCTACCGCTATTGGACCCTTTACCCAATTCATACTCAGTCCTTTGAAGAAAGCCATCAGTCCTTCCTCTCTAAAAAGAAAAATAAATATAAATATGAATATTTCACAGAGACAATTAATACAATTTTCTAAAAATTTTCTTCTGTGGGTGTGGAATACACAAAGGAGTATAAGTCAAATATTTAAAAAAAAAAAAAGATAAAAAAAAACAATAAATGTAATAATATATTTTACATTATTGTTCTTTCTCACGGACGGTATCAGACATATATTACGTTATCAATTTTTATCTATAAAATCTAAAATCCATCATTAAATATTTAATATCATTAAGTGTATCCTTGGGAAACAACTAATAATTCTTATTTTTATCATTATTCCGAAACCCATCGTATAATTAATAATATCAATATCTTACGTGTAAATTTTAACTATTGTCGAGGTAACTCTCTGATAATGTTGATTTTTAATTGCCGAAGTTTGCATTCTTCTCCTAACGATATCCAAAGGATAACTACTCGTTTGTCCTACTACTCCGGCTACAGCGCCACAAAGGAGTGCCAAGGCAGTAGCCATCCCAGGTATACTCGTCGTATATTGGGAATATTCTATTCATCGACAGATAATTATGACAATAAATTTTCATGGTAATCGTGACAAGAAGTAAATTCTCTAGTGTATATCAAGAAAGAGGGAGGGAGGGAGGGAGGGGGAGAGAGAAGGATGATCGAAAATGATTCATCAAAAATATGATGATATTGATGATAATGACGATTAAAGATTAGGATTGATAATTTGGAATAGGAGATAAAGACTCACCTGCCGTTAAGTGTTTCAGAGTATCATAAGTGAAGAAACTCATGCCAGCATAAGGTATAACGCCTAAGATCGTTGGTGTAAAGCCACGATAAAAGGACACGATACCTTCCTCCTGATAAATCCTTCGAAACATTTGCCTCAAAGTTTTGTACTCACTCTTTAACGTCACTGCCATTCGAGCACGTACAAGATCAAGAGGATAAGTTAAACCCTGTGACGTAACGCCGGCTAAAGAACCAGCCAATAATCTTTTAACCGGTGGAGTCCTAAAGACAAATTGATCTATTTCAATCGATTAATAATATCAATATAGACAAATTATTAAATTTATTAATCGATCGAATGATTATTAACATGATTATTCGATTACAAATTATATTTATGTTATGTGTGTTTATTATAATTAATAAATAGTAATAAATTATTTATCCAAATATTTATCGTAAAATTGATCGATCCAACGATTATAATTTATTTGATTTTATTAATGAGATTAAAAATTCTGATTAGAAAAAAAAACACACATGTATATATATATATTATTTATAATAAATTTATGTAATATAAATTATTTATGAAATTTATCGTGAAAATGATTAATTATAATAGATTATGATTTATTATAATTTATTGGATTTCACTGGTAAAATTAGAAATTTTATTTGGAGAAAAAAAATATGGATATATATATATATATATATATATATATATATATATATATATCGTATTTATATTATATTCATACGATAATAAATGATTTATGAACCCTATTGAATATGATTAATCGGATTACGTTTGATACTGATTTATTTGATTTCGTCTTACGTTTCTGGACTTTCGACTTGTAGAATCCTCTTCCATTGTTCATGTGCTGTAAATTGTATGGCGGCATAAGGAACGATCCTAACCATCGTCGCACTGTTACCTCGCCACAAACTCAATAGTCCTTCGTTTTGAAATGATCTGACAAGAAATACAAGAGCAGCTCTCGCTGTATAAGGTTGTTTCGATATTTGAAAATTGATCTTTGTGCGATCTAACGGTGCTATCGCTGTCTTCGCTAAACCTCCAGCTGCTGCACCAGCTAATAAACTGGTCCATACCCTCTGCACATTCGAAATGTTCTCCTTGCATTCTTTTTCTTTCTAATAACGAAGAAAATTATATATTATATACTATATATATATATATATTTTTTCTTTTTTTATCAATTGTATATATAATAATTATAATAATATTTTTAAAATAGTACATATATATGTTACATATTATATTGAATATATATATATATATGTATATTTAATATATTGAATACTTTGGATCGTATAAAAATTTTTATATTATATTCTCAATAAATTTTTTGTCTAGTTTTCGTCTAGTTTTTCATACGCACGCTATCTACTTTTCTTCAAAATAATATTAGAATAAAATTATTTTCAAATAGATTTATGTTCTATTATAAATAAATAAACAAATAAATTTTAATTTCATTTAGAAAAAAGTTTCATCGTAAGATATTATTAATATATTTAATATATAAAATAAAATCATATGTATTTAAATATTATTATATCAAGTGAATAAAATATTTTAACGTTAGATTTTATATTAGATAAATAATTATAGATTGATAATCACCGTAGTTGGATCCAGGTCACCATCGGATCTTGACGAGGTTGCGGTATATGTCATCGATATGGTGCTCGTTGGTTTGATGCTACCATGAATCCTCTCTAAAACTACTTGACCACTTTCAACTGGATTTGGTCCGATGTGTCCCCTCATTCTCCTTTGCCACACATTTTCGAACTGTTTTGTCAACAGTAACAGCGACAGCAACGATAGCAGCGACAACACCGGCTTCGAAGAGATTCTCGCCGTTTTGTCGATCGCAAAGGGCTACGAAAGAATAATTTATATTACGATCGTGTACACGTATATAAATGAACGATAACAACAGAAAAAAAAAAAAGAAGAAGAAAAAGAAAAGAACAAAAAAAGACAAGAAAAAGAAAAGAAAATTACAATAGATCTTCTTCGATGCAAACGAGATACTAACGAGCTCATTACATTAGTGTTAATTTCCTAAACGATTTAGATTTCTCTTTTTTCTCTTTTTCCGATCACGTATCAATAAAAAAAAAAAATAAATTACATTAAAAGATAATCGCTAATGCGTCTGTTATCCATTTTCTCTTTTTCTTTCCTCCTCCGGATAGCACGTGTTCATTAATGTATCTTTATCTATATGATAAAAAGAAAAAAAAAAATAGAAAAAAAAAAAAAAGAAAAAACAAGAAAAAAATGAAAATTATCGTTTTATAACACATTTCTTTGCCACTGTATAACACATCTATGTAGTATAGATATATGTATAAATAGATATATGATATGAAGTGTGATAAATATTTATCTTGCAAAATGAAAGAATACAAGCTTATTTCCAAATCTTCGTTTTCTCTTATTTTTTTTTTTTTTTTTTTTTTTTTTTTTTTTTTTTATAATGACAACATATTCGACGTTAAAAAAAAAAAAAAAAAGGAAACACCATAACTATCGTCTGAAGTAAAAATATTTTTTATATCCATCTTCAATTTTACAAGATTTATTTTATATAAATAAAAATATTTATATATTGCAATAACAAAGAAAGACATTAATGAGTATTTAAAAAGAAATATATATATATATATATATATATATATATGTATCATCTAATGTAAATAATTATTTATTTAAATATTTATCTCGCGGTTTTATTTTTCATGAGAGAGAGAGAGAAAGAAAGAGAGAAGGAAAACAAACCGTACGACATACGTACGTTGAGCCAGAAAATTGATTAGATACATAATCATGAGTAATGACATGATGTATAAGATTCTAAAAGTTCTTAAAGAAACAATTATTTTTCTGTTATCATAATAATCTATATTTATAGATGATATAACTTAATAATCATGAAACCGTAGATAATCGTGTATTATTTTCCTTCCTTTTTCGAACGAAAACAAAACAAAAAAAAAAAACAAAAAAAAAAAAGAAAAAAAAGGAAAGAAAAATAATGTGCATGATTGTAATTGCGAAACTCATTAAATATTAGAATTAATCCATATGATCCTACCGCACTTCTTTGTTTACACATATTTATTATCTAAACTACATACGATAAATTTTGCAAAACGGAGTAAAAAAAAAGTACAGAGATATGTTGGATTCAACTAATCTTATTTCACTGGTATATTGTAAATAAATTTCTTAGAATTGTGAAATAAAAGTGCGCGGAATTATATGAATTGCGTGAGTTGAAAGAAAAGGAAAAGAAAAAAAAAAACAAAATAAATGAAACAGAAACAGAAAAAAACAAACATGTCGTCGAGGAGTATCATTACGTTACCGTTTATAAGTATCATATTTTTATACCACTTGTGATCATAATAACGCCACGACGATAATGAATTTAACGAGATAATACTTTTACTATTTATAAATTGAAAAACAACGCGATCGTATTATATCTCAGAATTTTATTTGACATGAAATTATAAAAGAATTATCACCCATTGACCGCCATTTTTCGATTGGATTTTTGCACGAATTACTCGTGAAAATAATTAAGTCTACGACAAAATATAAATAAAGTTAAGTTAGTCGTTCGAAATAATTAAATTTCTATTAAATTTACTGAATGTAAAAAAGAATAATAATAATGAGAAATTTTTTAATTGGAGATACAGGGTCTATCTGGAGATTCTGGGATTTAAATGCGTCTCTAAACACACACAACAACATATATACACACACACACACACACACTTATATATATATATACAGATCTTATGTATGCATTGAGAATGCAAATGAGTGCACGAAGGTCATCTTGTTAATTTGTTTTCTACAACAACTCAAACCATTGATGCGAGATTCGTTCTGCTCGAGCGAAGAAAATAATGAAACAGTATCAATTTAATTATCTCATTTTTTAAGGATATATATACGTTTTTTTTTTTCTAATCAATAATAATCGATAATAATCAACTGTTCGACATGAAATATTTATATTTATCTTTGACACAAATACATCTTTTTACTAAATTTTTAACTTTCTCTCTCTCTCTCTCTCTCTCTCTCTCTCTCCCTCTCTCTTTCTTAAAGCAATAAATAAAATGTACTTTATGTAATTATATATAATGTATAAAGAATATTCTTCTCGTATCATATATATATATATATATATATATATATATATATATATATATATATATATATATATATATATATATATGTCATAATCAAACGAACAATCTATTAAGCTCATAAATTTGTCAAAATATAATATTCACCTTGTTTATAAACATTATTTAAATTATGATAACGTATCCGTGTGACTTCATTCTAATCACATGTTATCGCCACACTAATTTTCATATTTTTATCGATCGATATAAACCTCAAAAAAAAAGAAAAAAAAAAAAAAACGAAAAAGAAAACACAAAAACTGATTGGAACGTCGATAAGATTAAATGAATTATTGAAACGATAAATTAAGAATATTCGAGAGATTTTTCTTTCATTTGTCCAACTTAGCGATTAAACAAAAAATCGTTTTTGTTTAATAGTATATACATATATATATATACTTTAATGATTGTAGAATTTTTGAATCGTCAGTCTATTCGAAAGTAACATTCATTAGGGACTCTTAAATAAACATGATAAGTGTGTCCTTGCAATCGGTTTGCATAATTCATACTCCGATGATGATATCCAAAAGAAAATCATGTAAATTTTTCTTTTCGATTATGATTAAAACTTCATATGAATGAACTATTGAAATTTATTCATTAATTAGATTAATACTCTCGTCCATTCTTAATTCTTATTTATAATACTTAAAAAGTTGAAATATATACGTACGATTAAATTAAAACATATATAAATCGATCGATCGTTATGAAAATGATCTTTGAATAAGTGAGATTTAGAAATAAAAAAAAAGAAAAAAAAAAAAAAGAAAAAAATAATAATAAAATAAAATAAAAAGAAAAAAAAAAAAAGAAATAAATGTCGAATGGAATCTCTATTTGATGAATTAAATCTCTATTTTTTTTTTATTTTTTTTTTTTATTTTTTCTTCTTTTCTCAATTCTTTCCTTCTACATCCAGCAAAACTGCACAATTAGATTATTGCATTGAATTAAGTAATGAATTAATTTCTTTTTCTTTAGTTCTATTCTTATGACGAATTTTTTGCTTATACGATTTATGCAATTATCTATCTAATTATATATGTATATATATTATTATTATTATTATTATTATTATTATTATTATTAATAATTATCTATCTAATTATATATATATATATATATATATATATATAATATTATATATATATAATATTATATATATATATATAAATAATTATAATTGTATATATATATGTATGTATGTGTGTGATAATTCATGTTAATATCCTAACACTAGTAAAAATGTATGCGTACGATTTCTATTTATATTTATTTCGTTCCATTGTATTATATATTTCATATAATTTTCTTTTCTTATTTATTTAATATATTATATATATATTTTTTATATTGTTTTACATATTAGATAATTTATATCTTTATTTTAAAAATTTAAATTCGAAATTCGAAAATTAAAAAAAATGTATAAATAGTCGTGACTCTTTATTTTTTCCAAATATATTTCTATTCTCTATATATATATGAATATACATTACATATTCACACACACACACACACACACAATGTTCAGGTTCACGTTGAAATTTGAACATATTTTTAAATATTTGATCTAGTTTCGAGATATAATCTCTTTTTTTCTCTTCTTTTTTTCTTATCTACATTGATTAAGTAAGAATTAACAAAAAAATAAATGATAATAATTCAGTTTCTAAGAAATCATATTCTTACTTTACATACGATTTTAATCACACACACATACACGGTCGTGCATATATCATACAAATACACACAATATACACACAAACACGTACACACATTACGCATACCGATCGATCGTCGATTCGTCTTACGTCGAAGAGCAATTACGTAAAAGAGAGTTTCGATCGATAGTTAGTTTCAAAAGGATAAATAAATTACTCCTTACGTTTAAATTATCAACATGAATTAACGAACACGTTAATTAACGTTGTATTTTCATAAAGAATGATAGTTAATAATGACACATGTATGTAATGTATATAAATTAAAAAAAAACAAAAAGAACATGAAATTTATTAAACGTTACCAAATATATATATATGTATATATATATATGTATATGTATAATTATACACGTGTTTTTATCTTTTTTGAGAATAGTAATGAAAGTGAACTTTGTATGTGCACACACGTAAATGTCTATATTTATGTATGTGCGTATGTGTGTATATCCGAACGTCAGAATGAATATAAATCAACTTCTTCGAACGAATTTGTCGATGCTTCTCTTCTTCTATACTTCGATCATATTTTCTTTCATGATTGTATCTTACTTTAGAAATTTTTCATTAAGATAACTTTCATTATATCGTTAAATAATTTCAATGAAAATTTTTTCTTTTTTTCTTTAATCGACAGAGAGAGAGAGAGAGAGAGTGAGAGTGAGAGAGAGAGAGAGAGAGAGAGAGAGAGAGAGAGAGAAAGAGTGAAAGAAAAAGAGAGATAAATGGATCAAACGAGATACGAGATTTTAACCTCTTTTCGAACGTTTAAATACCCTATTTTTCCTTTTCTCTCTCTTTATCTATTTATCTATCTCTTTCTTTCTTTCTTTCTTCTCTCCTTTATCATCTTACACCGTACCTCTTTCAAACGTATTAGAATTTCTTTATAAAAATTCTTGAATGGATACGAACGATAATATTCTTCTTTCGGACAAAGAACTATCTCAAAAGGTTTCTCTTTCATTCGAATGTAGAACTCGATTGCGACACTTTCAATAACATGATCATCCTTGTCGTAAGATGTCAAAGATATAAAAAAGAGGTTTTCATTTAATTTCGTTATTTTTTTACATTTTCTCTCGTTCTCGTCAAATAGAATTCGTTCACATTAACTCTTTCTTAAATGCATAGTCACTGATCAACAACAGAAACGAGAAAACTGACGAATAAACGAGTTATATATATGTATATATATATATATATATATATATATATATATATATCGAGACTTGTTTTCTTTCGACGACGACTGATATTGCAACTGTTCTTTTCGTTTATCAACCAACCACTTCACGTTATTTCTCGGTTTTCTATATTATAATTTTGATTGCGTGATTGTAATTTAAAAATGAACGAATAAGACTGAGAGAGAGAGAGACAGATAGATAGATAGAAAGACAGAGAGATAAAAATAGTGATAGATAAAGAGAGACACAGAGAGAAAGAGAGAGAGAGAAAGAGAAAAAAAGAGAAACAGAAAATGAGATAGAGAAAGATAGATGGTTCGTAGGATTCCACTTACGTGCGTGCGTGCTTATCGGACAACGAGAAATGTGCTTCTATCGTGCTTGCATGACCTTCGCAACTGCGTTAACCTTACATATTCGTGATAGATGACGCTGGTCTCATCGCACGTCAATGGGTTCCATCTCTGTTTATATTCGTATAACAACATTTTTTTATTATTTGCCTTATCAAAAATATATATTTCTACGATGGTAATTTATCAACGGTTAATTAAGACTTTTGGTAAGATGAGTCGATAAAAAAGAAATTTTCATTTTTGTTTGGAATACATACTTATCGACAATGATGGTAAAGTAGAATCGTTTTAATTTGAGGTTTTTCTTTTTTTTTTTTCTTTCATTGAGAAACAAACAGAGGTAATAACGGTAACTCTATTAATTTACCGATCGAACGAATAATAATCATTGATAGCGGAACTCTGTTTTATCTACAACTGGTTTTTTTTATTGCTTTTAAAGGTCTGTTTTATCGATCGGACAAGATAACAATGGAACACAGTTTTATCGATCGCAAGTAAGGTAACGATCGAACTCTATCTTTCCTGAATAGTAATCCTTAAATGGATAGTAATTTTTTATGTTTTTTCTTTTTTGTTATTTCCTTTTTTTATTTACCGTAATCGACATAAAACGTTTCGTTTCGATCGAATAATACACAAAGTAATACACACATATATACATACACAAGACATACATATATATATATACATATATAATCTGAAGGAGACTAATGCAATTTCGTGCAAACGATCGAACCACGGCACTACACCGTAGTAAGTACTTGTGTAGTAATAAATTTCGTTAAAACAAGATGGCTTTTTCAACGCTTTCGGAATCGGCATTTCTTTAAACGAATAATCGATGAGCCTTGCCATTTTCTTCTCTGTTACATCGAAATCCTTTCAACATTGTACTTAGAAGAGTTATCATTAACACGAATTATCTTTTACCAGGAAAATAATGAAACACCTACACGCGTATTTATAAGTGGTCCAACAAATGAGTCCATTGATGTTTTACGAATAATTCTGTCGCCACCTTAGGTTGAGAAATTAAATCACAATACCTGGCTAATGTTAATTACGATTTAATAACCGACATCTTCTCGAATAGAAAATTTCTACATGATATGAATGTAATATGATCGAGTTTAAAAACTTATCAGAGAGAAGAAGGACATGGGGTTACCCTTATAAAAGCTAGTCGTGGTATATTCGACATCATAGTTACCAAGATACTCGACCAACATAGATCATCTACTTTGAACATCCTAACGTCGTTTCTTCGAAATCGTTTGGTGACAAGAAAGACGAAAAGATACGGTAAGCATATATGTATCTATCAAATTAATGCGAAAAAACAAAAAAAGAAATATTTCTATGTAAATATCTGCTATTAAAAAAGGGGAAGAAAAAAAAAGCTACGAATAAATTAAATACCTAAAAAGACAAATCGAATTTACGTTCAACGAAAGAAAAAGAACAAGGCAAGAATAATGATCGAATATCTATATATATATATATATATATATATATATATATATATATATATATATATATATATATATATATATATATATATATATATCGCGTACTAATGCGATAGATCCTAACACGTTTAAAGGATTTATCAGGCCATCGATGTTCGTTTAAATCCATTTCGACGTTTTCCATTAATCTTTTATACCAGGCGTAAGCGTTAACGAGAAGTAATTTAAAATTGCAATAGCATTCGTCCTACTCTTAGATAGAATCGTTAGATTTACACGAGCGTGTCCAATTGCTATACCAAAGGCAGAGTTAAACGTATCAAAGTCATTCGAAGAAGGAAAACCATGTTAGATTTTAATTCGGTTAATTTAATTGAATTTACAATATATATATGTATATATATATATATATTGAATTGAATATATTTAAACGAAGAATTTCGTTGAAAATGTGAAACGTCGAAAAAGATATAAGTTTGATACGATCTTACAATGGAGATGAAAAATATGAATGGATGATAATAGAACCATCTTTTAACTAATCGCATAAGATGCAATTTACCACCCTCCTCCCTTCCCCCATCTCCCCTTTACCCCTTTTTCCATTCGTCTACCTACTCGTAAGCCAAAGAAGCGGTCTCCGCTTCTTCGTCTCTATGCAACAGAGATGCTGGTCACGTTTCTTATCCGCGGGACACTTAGTAGCACTTACTCTTATCTTAATGACCAGGGACGCGCGTAGCGTTAATGGTCCCTTTAAAATTAGCACGGCCAGAACGGGGAGGGTGTTTCGGGCACTCTCTAAAAAACCGTCGGAAAATATAAACGCCTTTCGTTACTTCTATCTTTGTTCTTCTTTCCTTCCTTCCTTTCTTCTTTCCTTTCTTCTCACATTCTCCACCTTTCGCCCTCTATCCCACTTTTCAAAAGAATTTAAACGTGACAATTAGAAATCTAAAATTTCTTGGTACAATATAATTATTACTTTTTATAATTTTCTCTTCGTTTCTGTCTTTCTCTCTCTCTCTCTCTCTCTCTTTCTCTTCCTTTTTTTTCTTCTTCTTTTCTATTTGTTTTTCAATCTCGTTATTCAATTTTTTCTTTCACGCGAATTTTACACTTACATAGGGGGTAATACAATGGAAGAGAGAATTTAAAAACTGCAAAATAATAATAAAAATACTTGAAATAATTTCAATGTCTCTATCATGGATATGTAAAAGATGTAGATTTATACGTGCAGTTTTTCCTTGTCTTTTTTTTTTTGTACGAACGTCTAATAGAAAGAAATAAAAAGAAGGAATAATGTACCCGTAAATATCGACGAGGATTAACGTTTCAAAAGTTACAACCGGATAAACGCGAAAGATCGAGACGAAAAGGTTAACGTGGTAGCAGCATAGAGTGTTGAAGCGTCGAAATGGCGGTCGTGCATTTTTAAATCGCGTCTCTTCTCTAACGGATCGTTGAACCGACAAGTCAACCGTGGCCTATTGTTTTCTACTACGTTTATTGACCACCATCGAGTTCTCGTCAGCCAATATAAATTCTCTCTTTTACCTATTGTTGTCTCTATGAAATCGTTCGTGAAAATACCGTATATAAAATCATTTTAATAATTACAATAATAATAATAATTATAATAATAATAATAATAATAATAATAATAATAAAAATAATAATAATTTATTTTTCTACGTAAGTTAGGAAAAAAAAATATATATATACACAAAACATGAGTACATAAATAAGTAAATAAAACTTTTCCACGAAATAAAATAAATATAATAAATGATAAATATAAATTTTCCTTTTCTCTCTCTCTCTCTCTCTCTCTCTCTCTCTCTCTCTCTCTCTCTCATTCGAGATCGGAGAGGATCGATCGGACAGAGTAGGGAGGTCAATAAGACATGAATTAAATTCAAATGATATAATAAAGTTTGATTAAATTATTCCTTTCGTCTTTCATAATTAGTCCGCGGCAGTCTATGTCAACTAGAATCGGTCTACTGTATCCTCCTCCCTCATTCCAACCCCATTCCAACCCCATCCTCATTTACCCGGTCGCCCGCCCGCTTGCCTGCCAGCCTGCCTGACCGCCCCGCCCCGCCCTGTCCGGCCCTCCCCACCATTTTACTCCACTCCACTCCACTCCACTCCACTCTACTCCACTCCACTCCACTCCACTCTACTCAATTCAACTCAACTCAACCAACACGCATCGCGTCCGATCTTTGACTTGAAAAGTCATTAGTCCATTTCGACGTATGCCAATAAATTTACCTAAGTTGTTCCACTTTGTCCCTCTTTTAACAGATTAATTTACCTACTGTTATGTATCTACCCCTCGACTTCGAATCTGTTCTTAAATTGTATTGCCGATGAAATCTCTGGGATGAAATATTTTTTATCGTGGTGAGAAAAGAGAGAGAGAGAGAAAGAGAGAGAGAGAGGGAGAAAAATAAAAAAAAAGAAAAAGAAAGGATAGAAATAAAAAAAAAGGAAGAAAAAAAAATCACAAACTCATCCAAGAATTATTTTTAAATAGATAGATAGATTTCTAGATGGATAGATTTCTAGGTGGATAGATTTCTAGATAAATAGACAGATAGATAAATAAATAGGTAGATATAAATATATAAAAATTAAATTTATATAACGTAATATACGATTACGTATATATATATATATATATATATTGATTATAGAAATGGCTGTTTCCTATGGTACGACGATCGTTCTCGTTCTATCGTTCGTAACAACGAACGTGTTATCTCAGACCTTTCAATATAGCCATGGATGGACGAACGGTAAACGTACTCTCACGGATGTTAATTCTCAATTCTCATATCCGCCGGCATCTTCCTGGATGAAAAATGTCTTAGACTTACAATTCGACAATCTTCAGTCAACGCAAACTTCACCTTCACCGTCGCCATCGCCAACTGCAATTGCGACGACGACGATGACGGCTACGTCGATGACACGTTGCGACATACATAGAATGAGATTATTCTTTCAGGGAAATAATAACGAAGCTGTAAGTTGTTCTAAATTTTCTTTTTCTCTCTTCTTCTTTCCCCTCCCCATCCTCCTCCCCGTCTCCTTTCTTTGTTAAATCGATAAACAAAATTTTTTTTTAAATAATAACAAAGTAATCGTTAATAATATAGACGAAAGTGGGAATTGATTGAAAAAAATTATGACCAAAATTTCTTTCAAAATGATACTATCAAAATCGATCGTTCTTTTTAATCGATCGATTTTTTTACACTTATCTATTTTCTTTTCTCTCTCTCTCTCTCTCTCTCTCTTTCTGTAATAGAAGAGTTAGAACTAATATTATTAACGAACAATATTTCTAATAAATCAAATAAATCGTGCAGGTTTTGAAGCATTTAATTATGATAACGTAATGACATTATGGATGACATTTTTCTAACGTTTTTATTTGTCTTGGTTTTTTCGCTTCCTTTTCTTTTGTTTTGTTTTGTTTTTTTTTTCTTTCTTTTTTTTTTGTCTTATTCTTTCTATTTTCTGTTAAAGCTATATTTGGTACCTTGCGAGACAAGTGCGTCAAAAAAAAATCTCCGTGAACACCACCGCCTCATTCAGCTATAAAGAGGATCAACATTCGAGGATAACAATAATTAATCAAATCTAAATAAATAAAATTTGTCAGGAGCGTCATCAAGGAATGATCATTGTTAAAATGATACACATATACACACACACACACACATACAAATATACACATACATACATATATATATATATATATATATATATATATACATAAATGTACAGAGAAATATAATTATAAAATGAAAATAAAATTAAGAGATTATATCGCTGTGTGATTTTAAATCCAATTTATCCATATAGTACCGTTCCTTTTATCTTTTATTTCATTTATATTACCTTCAATCAATTATTTTATTTAAAAAATTTATCATAACAATATTCGTTGAAATTTATTCGCAATAAATTTTTTCCCTTAATAACACTACCATTCTATTAATACAATCTATTAATACATCCAATTGAAATTATTCGAACACCTTGTATTTATATATATATACGTATATATATATATATATATATATATATGTATATATTCGTTCGTAGATTTCTTCAAACAGTCCAGTTTTCATCGAGTTTCTATCGGGCCGCTTAATTAAGTTTTCGTTGTCGTAATTGGACAGACGGCCCGATAGGATAGATCACGGAGGCTGTTAGTGTTTCTCTCTTTCTCTCTCTCTCTCTCTCTTTCAGATACATACACATACACACGGATACATAGACAAGGTCATAGACATATACGTACACATAGACGCACAACCATTTCGCAGGGTATTTTGTCTGTCAACGGAAGATGGAGTGAAACTCAGGCGAGTAGAGACACCCGCTGAGTCCATGGATTACCACCCCTATCCTACAACTTATCCCGAATTGCGACTCACCACTTCGATTTCTCAACCGATATTAAAAACTATCGATATATTTCAGTTCTATCATAGAAAATATTCAACGTGTCGAATTAATTAATTATCCGACAATATTATTGTTTTTAGCAAGAAAAAAAAAAAAAAAAGAAAAAAGAAAAAATATTCAACGAACGCCGTGCGAGTTGAGAATATTTTTTTTTATTTTTATTTTTTTTTTCTTTTTTTTTTTCTAATTAATTAATTAACGAACGATGAATTATTAACGAAATCAAAAACGATTTTTACAACATCAATTTTACAACAACGAGAGATCAGAGGTTCAATCGCACTTAAGATTATTTTTGTGTATTAAGTTGTTGATTAATTATACAGGACATATAAAACAATATATATATATATTGTTTCTGTTTAAGAAGGAATTCTTATCGAATGTGTTTCTTAAATAATAATTTTTCTATTAAAAGAATTCAAACGATCGCGAGCACGTTAACTTCTAGATTAATTACAAACCACTGAACAAAGTTAAAAGCGACGCTTACGACGAAGACGAAAGGTCACAATTCCATCCGCACTTACGATTATTACTGTGCTCGTCGTCAGTTAGGTTACTTACACACATAACAATCGGCCGTGCCTAATGCACTTAAAACTTAGCTGTTAATCGGAATGGCAATTAGGCGAGGCGGCACACGGAACAAGTTTAATCGCATTAAATATTAAAACGTCGTCGCGAAACTGCGAAGCTAATGCTATGACTCCCCCTCTTGACTATCGTTGTCCTTCTCTCTCTCCCCCCTCTCTCTCTCTCTCTGTCTTTCTCTCTCTTTCTCTTTCTCTCTCACTCTCTCTCTTGTCACGGTGCACACGCGTGCACACGTGTGCCTAACGCTGTAACATTCTAACGTCTCTCGATACCCTTGGGAACATAAGTAACGAATGGTTGCAACCATTCTTCGATCGTTTCTTTCTCGTGAAAATTATTAAAGTGTCCGTATGTATCAGAAGGAATGTAAATTAATTTTAAATTAAAACTTTTATTGAGATAAATAACAAATTATTATATTGTTTTATGTAATTATTATATCGTCAATAATATTACTAATATATACATATATATAAATTATTATAAATTAATAATAATATATATATATATTATTAATATTATTGTCGTATTTATATTTAACGGTATAAATAAAATTTATATTTAATGGTATAAATGTAATAGAGCAAAAAACATTTTTTTTTTTTTTTATGTAGAAATAATACTCCGATAAAGATGTAAAAAAAAGTGTACGTGTTTAAAATTAAAAAAAAAAAAAAGAAAAATATTTTACAAGCTACACAAATTGTACAAATTAATATAGTCTCGTATACAATCGTATAATATACAACATAATAACGTGATAATAATAAATGTCTAATGTCTCAATTAAGATCTAACTTTTAAGAATGTATATCATTGAAAGGAAATTTTATTATCTTCAATAATAAAAAATATTCGAATCGATGTTTCGATCGATTTACAGATACGTATGTGTATTATTAGATAACTACATAGATATATCAATTTTAAATGAACATAATTTTGTGATATCTTCTCGATCTCTCTCTTTCTCTCTCTTTCTCTCTCTCTCTCTCTCTCTCTCTCTCTCTCTCTCCCTCTTTCCGATAATTTCTTTATCTTTTTCTTTTCCGATTAAGCATTCTCCAAGATAAAATGAGAAAGAATATCCCAGTAGAAGGAGCACTTTGAAAACGTTAGTATTATTAGCGATAGGCGGAAAAGTGAGAGACGAGAGAAGGGAGAAATGCTCTTTCGTATAAATACATAAAATCAAGCAATCATCGTAAATGGCGGCGATGGTGGTGGTGGTGGTGGTGATGGTGGTGGTGGTACTAGTGGTAGTAGTGTTGGTAATGGTGATAATGGTGTTGGTGATAATGGTGTTGTAGTAGTGATGGTCGGGGTTGTTGGATCGAGAATACAAGCGTCGCCTTTTTCGTTCTGTCGTCTGTCGCCCGTCGTTTGTCCTCCGACACGACGGAGAACGGCAAGCTCGCAAACCGTGTTTATGTTTACGGGAATATGCATTGTGAAAAACACAAGTGAACACGAATATGCACGTAATAAGCTCTGACAAAATGTTTGACGGAGGCTTCGTCTACCTATTACGATTATTTCTTTTGAAATTATGTATAATACATTTTCTTTACATCGTTAATCCAACTCTGTAAAGTTAATCCGATACATACATACACACATAGACACATACATACACAAATATAAAATGTACACATATATACCTAATTGTTTATTTACACGTGTTATTTTCTTTTCTTTTTTCTCTTTTTGTAAGCGTGTCAAAATTAAATATTTACATCCCCACCCATTATTTAATTCGACTCTTTTAGAAACTTTTTAAGAAAAACAATTTTCATATATGTACATGTATATGTATATGTATATATATATTATATATATATATATATATTAGCTATTCTTTTTTTTCCTTCTTATTTTATCTTTCTTATACGATAAATAAAAAAAATTGTGTTTCGTCGCGATTTGTATTTTGGTTCTATTAAAATTGACTTGTGCGGATTATTTAGTGACATGCAAAAGAAAAAAAAGAAAAAAGAAAAAAGAGAAAAAAAAACAAGCTCGTGTTGAGAGAAAAGTTCGAAACTAAATATTATATCGCAGCTATAACACGTTAGCTAGAATTTAAACCGCAAATGATCGGAAATGAAGAGAGAGAAAAATATAGAAAAGAAGAGAGAAAGAGAAATATACCTTATGAGAGTAAATGAGTGAGACAGAGAGAGATAGATAGATAGATAGATAGAGAGAGAGAGAGAGAGAGAGAGAGAGAGAGAGAGAGAGAGAGAGAGAGAGAGAAGGAAACAGAAGAAGAGGGAGGAGCATTTTACGGGCAGGAAACGAATGGTGTTTAGAAACTATGTTTTTAGGAAACGCACCACTTAATGATCACGAAAATTGATCATCGGTCTTCCTTTTATTCGATCTTAATGCCACCCGCCTAGTTTCTCGTCCTTGACGTTTTCGTGGTAAAAAAAAAAGAAAGAAAAAAGAAAAAAAACGAAAAAAAATAAATAAAGAAAAAAGACGGAGTGTCCCGTTTTTGAAAATTTGCCAAAAGATCGAACGTTTGAAGAAAAAAAAAGAAAAAAAAAAAAAACACAAAAAAAACAAAAAAGAAAGAGAAAAACGAATACTTCTTCTCCGAAATTAAAGTAATTAAATATTTTCTTTTTTTTCTTTTCGTGTACTCGTAAGTCGTCCATTTCTTTCCTCTTTTAATTTCTTTCTTTTCCATTCTTTTTATTTCTCATTTTTTTTGTTTCCTTTGTTTTTTTCTTTTTTTTTCGTTTTTTTTTTTTTCATTTCTCTTTTTCTTCCTCAACAGTCTCTATCAAATCCCACGAGATATCGATCCTGCAGGATTGTTTAAAAATTGGCGAGTCATTGGGCTAACGAGAACACACGAGGTAGATTCGTCATACCTACTTTTTATCGGCGCTATCAATTTCCATAAGCTAGCCTCGAAAATTGGTCCTGGCCAAGAGCTCACCCTGGAGACAGACAGAAAGAGAGAGAGAGAGAGAGAGAGAGAGAGATGAAAACAAAAAAAAAGAACAAAAATCGAAACAAACAAGAAAATATACGTTTTATCGTACCAACTTCCATGTGTTTTCTATCTCTATACCCAACGAGCAATCACGATAAATCTCCGTCGTTTGAAAATAAATATCCCCGTGTATATGTATATTACACGCGTGCGTGCGTTAGTGCGTGTGTACAACGTTACTCTCATGATTTTATAAACTAGCTTTTGAAAAAAAAAACAAGAAACCGAAGTATGGCTCTCGATTCGTCGAAAATTTGAAACGATCGTCGTGTCTCGATACGAAGAGAACACTTAATTGCTCTTTGGCGTCTATGTTGAAAACTAGAAAAACCACAATAACAGAGAGAAAGAGAGAAAGAGAGAAAGAGAAACAGATAGAGAAAGAGATAGAGAGAGAGAGAGAGAGAGAGAGAGAGAGAGAGAGAGAGAGAAGAGTTTACGCTCTTCGTGATTACAGGGCGCCATCCACTTTCGACTTTTGGGTGGCGAAGCTTCACGAACGATCAAAAGGGAGCGAGAAAGATGGACAGATGGGTGGCAGGAAATGGTCGAGTGTTGTTCCAATTTCTTCTATGGCTCATCATCCTGACGTTTTTCTCATAGTGGCATCGTTTAACTTTAATCGACCTTTAATATGGTTGTTCGCCGTAAACAAGACAACAACGTATTAATATCAAATTGTATTATATTTTTCTAATAAACAAAATCATGCATTACATATCTATAACATATATATATATATATATATGTATGTATTTATGTATGTATGTATTAGATATAAAGTTCGGTAAAAAAAAGTGAAGAAAATTTTAGGCCAACTTTCGACATAAAAAAAAGTTCGTGTGATACATATTTTTTTGAAGTAAATGACAACGTATCATATATACAGTGAGTTCTTCTTTTGTTATTGTTTTTTCTTTTATTTCTCGAAAAAAAAAAATTCTTCCTTTCTTTTACGGCTACAGGGGATATTTGTCCCCTAAATAATTGGACAGAACGACGATGATGACGACAACGACGACGACGACTACGACGACAAGGATCAGAACGAGGACGGTGACGATGATGATAATGATGATGATGACGACGACGACGACGACGATGACGCACGGTCTCGTATTTCCTCCTCTGCAATTACCGGCAGTAAACGCGGCCACATCCGGTTTAAAAACCTCTCCTAGACGAAAGAATAAGCGATATTCGTTTCTTCTCTCTTCGTTTCTCCTACGTTCCTTTTCTACCGATACTAACGTAGAAAAAAGTGATTAAGGTTGATCGGAGGAATATATATATATATATATATATATATAAAGAAAAAAATGAAGTAAAAATTTTTTATCGTACGTTATTGGATCGTCCTAAGGACGATAAATTGTATCAAACCGAATTGAAAAATAATATGCATAAATATTTTGCGTATTTTTTTCTGAATAATAAAAATAATTTAAGAAACGAAACAAAAAAAAAAAAGAAAGAAAAGAAATAAAATAAAAAATAAAAAAGATCGAGAGATCGTTTATCGTTCATAACAATGCCGTCTCTTTCCTATTCCCTTCTTCTTTACTTTTTAACAATGTAAACAAAAAAATAAAAAAAAAAAAAATGATTGGGTATTGATATCATAGAAATGAAAAAACATACGAAGTAAACCATTTGATCTTTTATCGTATTGCAATTAACGGCGATGATTTCTATTTTAAATAACTATAGATACTAGATAGATTAAAAAATTGTAGAGAGATAGAAATGAGACGAGTAAAAAAGAAAGAAAAAAGAAAAAAGAAAAAAGAAAAAACGAATCGAGGGATCAATTTATCAATCTTATTTATTTTCGTTGATCATTAAATGTTGTAAAGTGCATGTTGTGTAATACGCTATTTGATTGATCAATCTCATTTATATTAAATTGTTCTATCGAAACGAGAATAAAGTAGGAATTATTTAACATTGGCCTTTTGTTTTATTTCTATTTATTTTTTTATTATTTATTTATTTATTTATTTATTTATTTATTTATTTATTTATTTATTTATTTATTTATTTACTTTTCTTTTTTTTTTTTTTTTTGACAAATACCTACCTTCCCATAGTAGTACGTTTTTCACGCAGGAACGATGATTCCTTTCGGAATATCTTTAGATACTATCGGTTAAGAACAATTCAAAGAGAGAAAGATTCCTTTCCTCGTGTTAGAATTCCCCCTCCTAATCCAATCCACTTTATACTTACGAGTAGTCTCGTCAGTAGAGACAGTGAGAAAAGATAGTATAAGAGGGAGGAACACGTTACTCTCAGGTAACACGCGTTCTTCTCGATGTCACTCACCTTCTCCCTTCTATCTTCTAGATTCTTACCATTCACCCTCCCAATCTCACACAGTTTCAGTTTCAACCACTTACACCACCACAATAATCCCTCATCTCCCTCTATCACTCCTCTCTACTATTCCAATTCCGACGTAGCATCTTCAAAATGTCAAGCGATTTGCGACAAATAATTCTTTCACCGATCGACTATATAATCTTATCTAAATTAAATCAATTACCAGGCTGGCGCTATTTGCCAGATTAAAATAACGTTCGTCAGAAGTCAATTTAGAATAATAATTTTATAAATAGTTCCATAATGAAGGTTTTTTTTTTCTTTTTGTTTTTATAATTATCACTCGATCTTATTTAAAACGTCGAATATAATAAAAATTTTGCTATCGATATTTATAGATTTTGTATCTATATTTAATTATACGTATTAATGATTCTTTTCTTCTTTTCTGTCTTTTCTTTCTTTTTTCTTCTTTTTCTTTTTCTTTTTTTTTTCTTTTTTCTTTTTTCGAATCATCGCGCAAATCCCCTTGTCGCATCCATGCCTTTATTTCTTTCTTTTTTTCTTTTTTTGTAAGTTCCTTTAGATCATCTTTCTTATTTCAAAAATGAAAAGTAATCTTAACAGATCGGACGTCGACGTAATTTTTGTTTAAATCGATATAATTAATAATATATAAAATATAATCGTAAATTTTTTAACTCGAGTGTTACGTTGAAAAGTTTTACCTCGAATATAAATTTTCTCAATTAATCACGAAAAATATTATCGTAAAAATATTTCAAAACAAATTATCACAACAAATTATTTTTGTACGTAGGTCAAATGTACGAGGACGATAATCTAATC